AGAAAGTTGGAATTGCACTACTTTTTAGCGGGGTTTTTGCCTTTTTTGACGCTAAAAGCGCTGCAGTACAGCAAAAACACAGCATAGCGGTTGTAGTAGAGATCGTTTGTCCGTACCCGCCGCTAGGTACCTAGCACCGCCCGGCGGGTACTGCCCGCACCCGCCCCGCACCCGCCAGGCGGTGCCAGGTGCGGTGCCGGGTGTCTATTTTTGGGCAAAAACACAGGCAGTACCTGGGTACAGCTACGGGTACCGCCTTATATCCCTAACAAACAGGGGGGGGTACTGCACGGGGGTCGCAGGGGTTTTACATCTACCCATGGCCAAGCCCCAGGCCTGTCCACCTCAACAGTCATTCATCAATCGATCAACCAGACCGCGGACCCAATTGAGCGACCTGCAGGTAGGACCGGAGGCCTCGAGACCGACGAAGGGTAAAGCACCCCCTTCCCATTTTTCCCCTGCCACCACCACCTTTGCTTTTTTTTCCTGGGCCTTTTTTTCTCGATGAAAGTTGGAGGACCAAGCTGATTCTGAAGAACTCGGTTGATCTTCACAGCTTCAAAATTTTCACCTCGCTCACGTACTCCAAAGTACGGAAGCTCAGGGGGGACACAAATCGTGCCAGCGCCAAATCGCGCCAAATCCATCTTTTTTTTTTATCTGCCAAAAAATTCACACACTATGGTCAAAATACTACTATGCACATGCATAAAAACTCACACACACATACACCCCGATGACCAGTAAAACACTTCTTTGGATGACCGGTCAACACCAACACCGGTGATTAGACAGACTACACACTCCACTCGATGGCCGGTCTTGATCGGTCATTGGGTGTAGTACACACTCCACCTGACAACTGGTCAAAACCGGCCATCGAATGGGGTATGGCCGGTCTTGATCGGTCATTGGGTGTAGTCTACACTCCACCTGACAACTGGTCATAACCGGCCATCGAGTGGTGGTGTACTCCACCGGATGAACGGTCAAGACCGGCCATCGAGTGGAGGTGTACTCCACAGGATGAGTGGTCAATACCGGCCATCAAGTGGAATGTGTACTCCACCCGATGACCGGTTATGACCGGTCATGGAGTGGAGGTGTACTCCACAGGATGACTGGTCAATACCGGCCATCAAGGATTCAAGTGGAATGTACTCCACCCGGTCAAGACTGCCCATTGAGTAGAGGTGTACTCCACCGGTCAAGACCGGCCATCAGGTGAAGTGTGTATTCCACCTGATGGCCGGTTTTGACCAGCCATCGACTATTGAGTGGATTACATACCCCACTTGATGGCCAGTATTGACCGGTCATGGTGGTGTAGTACTCCACTGATGACCGGTCGTCCACCATTGAGTGGAGCGTCTACCCAATGACCAGTAAAAATCAGTCATGAGTACGGGTGTGTGTGTTTCTATGTAGTGTGAGAATGTTTGGCAGATCAAAAAAAATTGGATTTGGCGCGATTTGTGTCCCCCCTGAGCTTCCGTACCAAAGCCATGTAAATTCTTTGAAAGATTGTTTGATCAATATTGACCGCGAAGCACATCAAGCAAAGAATGTTACGACATGCCTTGCGGACGCAACCAAGCGAAGTCTATCGCTTCTTGCACGTCGTCGCCGTCGTACAATCCCCCTAAGAAGCCATTCTGAAAACAACAAGGCTAGATTGGTAATAAGGAAGCCAAGCCAATCACAAGGAGGCCAGACCGATAATGAGTAGACACTTCCAACTACCAGGATGATAAAACTGTCTTCATGAGGGGAGATCAATGACCAAGAGTTAAAGGAGGGAGTAGATAACACTATTGTTTATATGTCTTAGCTGTCAAATCAAGATCAACCAACATATTATATCTATTTATCATGGAAAGGTTCACCATTAGCCCTTTTGCCAAAAGATAACGAACCAGCCAATCAAACAGAAAACACATTAGAACTAGGATTGCTTCAGTTACATGAGGATTTGAAGTATTGGGAAGAGGTTGGAGGAGAGGATTAGCCAACCAAGTTTTAGTTTGAAAGGCCACACCAATTTGTCCTTCTCTCTCTCTCTTCAGCATATTGTCTTCTAGATTAAAGTGGTTTTTGTATCAATAGATGAATTCCATGTATTACATGAAATTGCAAGTTGAACTCAATAAACTGCTTTTTGTTTAAATGTGCAAGATTTCAATTAAATAGTAGCCTAAAATGAAGACTAAAATAAATGACAGAGAGTCCAATTTTCAAAGCAATGAGTACTGTGTGGGGAGATCTAACTTGATCCTCAGTAAATTTGAAAAAAAAAATAGTAATAAAGTAAGATGCTTCAATTATTTTACAACAAATATGAAAAAATGAAAAAGTGACTTGGGAATGATATTTTACAATAAATATGAAAAAGGATTCTTCTAATTAGTTGTTGTTATTTTACAATAAATATGAAATAATGTTGGTTTGGGAGTCGATCCTCCCAAACCGACCAGGGTTTGGGGGTCGATAAACCAAATCAACCCCCACCCCACGGCAGCGGCCGGGAGGATTCCTCCCGGCCGCGAGACCACATTCTCGATGGCCAAGAGGGGAAACCCTCTTGGCCGTTGAGGGTATGTACACTCTCGACGCCGAGAGGGTTTCTCCTCTCGGCCATCGAGGTGTACACTCTCAACGGCTGAGAGAAGAAACCCTCTCGGCCGTTGAGTTCCGGTCAGATTATTTTTAAAATGGGTTGCTTGAGTTGATAAAAAAATGGAATGGAATTCAAGAGAAAATCAACACATTCATGTACATCATAGACAAGGGAGGCTGTTACATGAGGTCATTGCTATTTTGAGAGAACATGAACTAATGAGCTCCAGCTTGTGCTTCGGACCATTTGAACAAGATGAGTTTGGGTCTGAAAATTGAAGAAGCCGAAACGACACGGGCGCCCTTGGCAGTGATAACTTGCTGCGACTCAAGATCCAATCCATCCTGATTTCTATTTGAATGTGACGAAGCTTGTTTCCCATTGCTGGTAAAGTAAATCCTTTGTAATCGGACACTTGCATGCACCTGGATGAAATCAGTTGAATGGTATCGTGTGGGTATCAAACTGTCAAGTGGTAAAAGTAAATCATTCCATTTCGTTTGGGTATAGGCTTCCGAGGTGGGGAAGACTAGTGGAAGGTGAATAAGCTTAGTATGCCCGCTTTTGTTTGATTTCGAACGCGAATAAGATCTTGCTTCAGTCTGAATGTAGCAGGTGAATAAGTGAATCAGAAGAAACCTGTCAGTTTTGTAGGTCACGATGCTTAGGAGAATGCAGCTTGCAAAAGTGCTGTGATTCGTGGGTCGGATTCATATAAACTACGCAACTTGAAACGTTGAAGCCCTGATCAGAATACGATCGCCCGCTTGATCTCGACCTCGATGGCCGAGAGGAGAAACCCTCTTGGCGTCAAGAGTGTACATACCCTCAACGGCCGAGAGGGTTTCCCCTCTTGGCCGTCAAGAATGTGGTCTCGCGGCCGGGAGGAATCCTCCCGGCCGCTGCCGTGGGGTGGGGGTTGATTTGGTTTATCGACCCCCAAACCCTGGTCGGTTTGGGAGGATCGACTCCCAAACCAACCGGGGGTTTTTATTTTTATTTTATTAAATTCTTAGGGAGTCGACTCCCAAACCGGTCGACGGTTTTGGGGGATCGACTCCCTAATTTCGGGGGTTTCGGGGTTTGGGAGTTGACTCTCCAATTTTGGGGAGTCGATTAACCAAGCCCCTAATAATAAAAGTGACTTGGGACTCTGGGAGTGAAAGTAGGTGATAAAGAGAGGGGGGGTACCCGCGGTACCTGCCAAAAGTACCGCAGGTACCTGTCGGGAGGTGCCAGGTGCGGTACATGGTATCTATTTTCTTGAAAAATTGAACAGGTACCCGAGTACAAACAAACAATCTCTAGGCTGTAGCAGTGCGCTAACACTACCCAGAAAAAAGCCACCTGTTAGTGGCGCTACAGTGTAGCGTAGCTTAGCAGCGGTAGCGGCACGCTAACACTACAGAAAAAAGGGGCCCTTCTAGCGCCGCTACGCTAACGCTAAGTGGCCCTTTAGCGTAATGTAGTGTAGCGGCCCACTGTTGTTTGATGCTCTGGAATCCAAAACAAGCAGCCAAAACAAATGTTCCACCCAGAAAGAAAAATGCAGGGTAACAAAGTCCCATTTTGTGACGTGTTGGACTCATGGAGTCCTGAAACAGTAGTTGCAATTGTACTAACCGTTAGAGGGAGGCCAAATCACAGCTTATCAAATGAACCAATGGGGATTATCATGGGCCAGGGCCACCCACTAGGCATACATACAATGCCGTGGGCTTCAATTAAATATGTAAAATGGCTGGATCCTTTAGGTATTCTTCATAGACAAAGACTGCAAACTGGGTGGGAGAGATGGGTCTGTTATTGGAATGCTCATATTACCTATATGTAGGCTCAGAATTTTGTTGTTGTTGGTGATGATGATGGTCATTACTGTGGGTGCTATGGAATTTCTGAGAAAATTGACGTTATGAAGAATTAACTTTTGAAGTGATTTATATGCACCACATACCACTGAGGCCTAATCAGTGGTGCTCATTTCTTGCAAGACAGCCTCAGACAGGATTATCATGCATGATCATGGCTGGTGATATGTAGTAGATACAAAAGAGGTATGTGATTTCCCTTCCTCAATTGCTATCTTCTCTAGAGGCAAAGGGCAGTGCTGAATTTTAGGTAGTTAAAATAGGTATGGTGAAGAAGCAACACCATTTGCTCATGGTGCTCAGAGGACTTGAAAAAATAAAAAACCATGAATTGCTCAAGGAGATTGCCGTTGTTTCTTGTTATGTACCCCCTCAGAAGGCCATTTGCAAGAAACCCAACACTCTATGAGGTTTGAGGAGTGGACAGAGGGCAGTCCGTAGCCCAATCGGAAACATGACTCAACTCCAAGGCTAGCTGGTTTCCAGAGATGTTAATGTTTTTTCTCATGAGTCTTGGAATCAGTACATAAAATGGAGACTGCAACAACAGCTCGTTGGTATGAAGACTGTATCCAGAGGAGATACATACAACAAGCCTACACAGGCTTGGAACTTGACACGTCGAAGTTGCTCCACGTCGTCAAGAAATCTGGAGATATTTAAAAACACTCTTCAGTCTGCCTACCACCATCAACAGTCTCAGACTTATCCCAAGTACTACCACCACACTCCACCCTGCACTAACAGTCCCTCTGAGCTCGCCGCTCCCCGATGGACCCAATCATTCAGGCATATTTTGCCTTAGGGGTCAGTACTTCTTTCTTTCTCTAGTACTAAAACAACTTAACCAACATCCTTTTCTGACGATCTAAATTTTCCCCAATACCCTCACAGATTTCTGCTGTTATCCCGATCTGGTATGCCTCACATGCATCAGTCAAAGTCAGTAAAAAAACACACCACCCAACCCCCAGAACGACTTTCTTTTTTTCTTCTTTGCGATGACGGACTCAATTAATCGAGATCATCATTGTTTTGTTATTTTTAGGCACCAATCGTGTTGAAGAAAAAGTCGGGAAAGAACTCGGCCGATACGACCGAATCATCCGATGAGGAAGAAGAAGCTGTCGAACGGATGACCAGTGAGGACGCTTATTGGTTTCCAGTGATGTGAGTGAATTGCTATCACATCCGACAGTTTTCACATACAGTCAGTCAATCTAAGCTATGACTGACCCATCTCTGGGAAAATAAAAATCAACCAAACAGGGGTTCGGGAGCATTATTAGGACTATACCTGGTCTTCAAGTATCTGAATAAGGACCTGATCAATGCGCTCTTTGCCGGATATTTCTCCTTGATGGGCTCAGGAGCACTAGCGACGATGCTAGTGACGATCACCAAAACGACCCTAGGACCGACGACCTGGTCGAACCAGACCAAATACAAGTTCAGATTGACCCGGAATACGGCGGACGTCCTGTTCAGTCTCCGGTTCACCAACTGGCACATCGGCTACATCCTCGGCTCCGTCATCCTCTCCGCCATCCAATGGTACACCAAACAGTGGATGCTGTCCAACTTGTTCGCCCTCAGCTTCGCCTTCAACGCTATCACCCTTTTGAAGCTCGATAGCTTCAAGACTGGGACCGTTCTACTCGGTGGTCTGTTCATGTCAGTCATTTCTCATTCTTCATACAACAACAACCCCGATCGATCACTGATCGATCGCCGTAAACCTGTTCTCTCTCTACCTCTCTCGGTCCAGCTATGATGTCTGGTGGGTCTTTGGATCTTCCCATGCTTTCGGTGAAAGTGTGATGGTCAGCGTCGCAAAGAACTTTGGTGCGTATTCTACATTTTTGTTTTTTTGCTTTCTTCCACACTCAATACGATACGGTCGGTTTATCATTTATGATTTTGCCTTTGTCAATTAGCCGCTCCCATCAAGATCACTTGGCCTCGTGCGATCGCCGATTTCCTGTCAACCGACGACAAGAAATTTGCCATGTTAGGATTAGGTTAGTCTCTCAATTTGAGATTGATTCCTAGAGAACGAAAACACCGCTTCTTTGACGACCTCATATATGAAGCCACCAATCAACTGACATGCTTTTTCTTACAGGTGATATCGTTATGCCAGGA